TAGTCTTTTGATTTTGATCAAATAAATGCTTTAGCCTAGCTTATGCTATTTTATCTGCAATACAATAGCCAATTCCTTCCCCTTCAACTATCTTGGAGTGACAAAATCCGGCACCTGGGAGCTAGGAAATCTCATCATCTTGTAACCCACCAATAATGAGTTTCAACATATGTTACGAGCAAGTGTTTTAGAACATGTAGTACTATGCATCTCTGTTACCTGTCCTCCGGATTGCGTCTTGTGCATCACCAGCAAGCACTCTCTGGTTTACGTTGGCCCGTTGGACGAGACGAACCAGCGCTTGCACTACTTCTGACATCGGTGGTCTGAACTCTGGCTCAGGCTGTTAAACATGGAACTCTTCTTGTTATTATTGCTCATTGTAACAGTTTTTTGTAGCAAAAATGCATGGAAGGGCTTTGGAATGTAGAAATTATATTTCGAGGAATCAGGTCATAATAAGGATAAAAAAAGGGTAACACAATTTGATAGCAGCATTACCTGAACACATATGGCAATAACATCAGCAAATCGAGAAAGAGATTTTGCAGGGTAGAGCCCCTGGAGTTGTGGGTCGACCATCTTGTCAAGAGCATCAATGTCATGGAGCTGAGGAGTCGCCCATCGAACCAAGTGTTGCTCAGATCTTGGTCTAGAGCTGCCATGATGAAGTTTTAAGTTTTCAGACGAAAATGTTGAGGATCGAACGAGTGGAATAGGACAAAAATGATTAAAATTCAGCCCTGATCCTTTAAAAATGCTAGGTAGTGTGTAAAAAAATAAAATTGTAATGATTTACCTATCAAAAGGTTTTCTTCCGGTCAGGAGCTCTAGCATGACTACTCCAAAGCTATACACGTCGCTCTTCAGAGTGTACTGCCCAAACATGTCAACCTCAGGAGCATTGTATCCAGAAGCCAGGTTATGATTTGCACCCTACAAAGAGTTACAAAATTATGTTGGAATCATATTAACAAAAATTAGGAGCAACTGCAAGCGCATCATTTTACAGTCTCCCAGCACCGCTGATTGAAATCGGTTCACCATGGCATTTCTTAAGCTAATTATCAGAAAAAGTAAAAAAGAAAAAGAAAAAAAAAACACAATGTTAATTGAATCACAAATAAAAAAGAAGGAAATTTATCTGAGATCTTAAAGTTTGCATTCATTTATTATTTAGTCCCATTCTTCGAATAAAAGTTATCAGTCCTAATACAAGAAATATAATTTTAATTCACATTTTCCTATACAAAAAAAGTGGGTGGTGGGGGTGGGTCTTTTGGAATGGGTGGTTGAAAAAGGCTAGGAGCTTGTGGCAGTAAGCGAGAAAGATAAAGGTGAATTCCATAGCATAAATAATAAATAAGATTAGATGTTTAAATTGAATAAGATTAAAAGTAAACAAAGTAGCCTACAGATAAAATAAACCATGACCAACTCAATGAATTATTTAATTTGCCCAATAATATAACAGGGCTGTAGAATTCGACTACCTAGGCCAAAATATGTATCATACTCAAATCTAAGACACCAGGGAAAGGTTTAACTTACAGCACATTTGGTGCAGCTGTGTGGCAGCAGATCGCAAATACCAACATTTGAATAACACTTTTTTGGCGTTTTAAATGACACGGCATGTTGTAGGTGGGACCATTTCAAGTTGCGAGTCTCTATGCACGTTCCGTGTTTTTCAATGGGTTTCACTCTGCCCTAACTTCGACCTTCTTTCTGCCATACAACAAAGGATCTGGCGTTTTAAATGAGACGGCATGTTGTAGGTGGCATGTTTATTCCACCCACCACCCCCCCTGCCCTGATTTTTGTGGGTTTGTTTCTACTATTTTTTTATATTTCCTGCATTTGTGGGATTTCGGTTAGCTATGCATCCATCGTGGTTTAATTTTTAACATTGCATCTACGTTGGTTTGGAGCACTCTGCCTTAAAATTGATTGATGTTTTCTCTATGTTGGTTTGCATTTCGAACATACGTAGTGGTTTGAGTTTTCTGTGGGCATATGTTACCGGTCTCTGAGTTGGTTTGCATTCGGAAAATATGTTCTTCTCTGTGTATGTTCGATTATGTTTTTGGGAATTTGATCTATTGGGAAAGTGGGAATGTGAAATCTGTCTTTAGTGATTAGTGAATAATGGTTGATGCTAGTTTGTGCAATTTTGATAAGTTATGGTGGTTGTGTTCTGTGGGAGTTTAATCTCTCTTCTGTCTTATTAGTATGGTTTTAAAAATCAGATTAGATCGGCTGGTTCGATTAGTTCAACCATGAACCGGTCATTCACTAGTTTAGTCCAAGCTCAAAAGCGTTTTTGCATAGAACAGAGATTGAACTGATCAAAATCGAGTTTGAACAAGAAAACTAGAGAACTGATTCGGTTTTTAGAGAACCAACCAATTCAATTATTCAATTTTAGTCTTTTGATTTTGATCGAATGACCATAAATAAGATATTTAAATTAAAAAAAAAGAAAATATCATGTCCTAAATTTTTTATTTAGAATATTGTACAAAATATTCAAAAATATTGTCTTTAATTAAAAGATTTTTTTAATAGATAAAATGATATTAATGTATCATTAGTCTTATTTAAATTATATTAAAATAATTTAAATATTTATTATGTCATCCGATTTAATGGTTCACAACTTTGCTTATTAGTGAATTGCGGCGATTGTTTGTTATATGGAAGTTCCTGCTTGCTCTCTATTGGTTCGACCTACAGTATTCATAGATTGACATACAAACCGAGCACACAATCTTATGTGTTTACATTTCGTAGATTGATGGTAGTCGTATTCGTGCATATTTTAAAGTTGAGGCATGATTTACCTATGTTGTTTATATGGTAATAGTGTTGTTTTGATGCGGTTTTACTGATATGAAAGCTTCATGCTTATAAAGCTCAAATTTTTGGGGCATAATATTTAATAAACTCATTAGAATTGTGTGCTGGATTTGTAAATGGAGTTTGTTTGATGAATTGACTATGTGGAGATCGTGTATGCTAGTTGAATATGGGAAGTTTGTGCATGCGAATTGGATGAACTTTTATTCATGCTCTTTTTCCATGAGACCATGATGAAACATTATAGAAATAAGTTGCTAGTGGATGCTAGTTTATATGGAAGTGGAGCTTCTGCAGAGATACAAAAATGAGATATCATTTCAAATGAATGTGACGAGTAATTAACATATATGCTATATCATTTTGTTTTATAATGTTTATACATTATCACTTATATTTATTTTTCTCTCGTTAAAATTAAATGTTTAAATGGGCAAGACGAGAAAGTGGAGCTTTAAAATGCGGAAAAGAGACAGAAATAATAATGTGTTCTATGTTTAAAAGAAGTTTAATTGGGAAATAGACCCACAACATTTTTTTAGCAAAGAGGGGGTGACAAAACCTAATAAAAAGTTAAAACAAATAATTGAAAGTACGATAGGATGCAATAAAAAAAAGTAAGATCAATTAAAAAAGAATTGATAATTATGAAAAGAATTAAAGCGAAGAGCTAGATCTTACAAAGCAGAATTGATAATTATGAAAAGAATTAAAGCGAAGAGCTACAAGTCTTGGTTAGGATCTTACAAAGCAGGTACAAAGCAGACTATTGATGCATCAAAATAATGGTGGAAAGAAATATTAGAGGTAAATTTGTATTTTAGTTAGACAATTCCACATAATTATGTTAAACAATGCTATAAATATTTCTTATTTCTATCACTTATAGGTCAAGTCAAATGAGAAAAAAAATTAAATTTAGTGGCATTGATCATGAATTAGAAGAGAATCTAGACAACATGTTTGGTGGAGTCATTGTCACAAACGATCATACATGGGCCTTGAGTCAAAGAACAAGCATTGATGTATCTGAACCTATAGATTCTGAACACAAATCCGACTCAAGTGAGGATCCATTAGAAGAGAATCTAGACCACATGTTTGGTGGATTCATTGCCACAAACGATCATGCATGGACCTTGAGTCAAAGACCAAGCATTGATGTATCTGAACCTATAGATTCTGAACACAGATACGACTCAAGTGAGGAGCCATATGTTTTATCACTGAACATGTTTGATCCAATCATACAAAACAATCATCTTTGCAGCCTAGGGATAAAAGAAAGAAGAAAGATGACATAACACTCTTACGAAATCAGATTTCTCGGCTAGTTTCTGCATGCAGTAGTATTCTCTCTGAGCCTAGCACCTCACTTGCACTACCACCATCTGTCCCAAAAGTTATGAAAATATAACGAGAAACTCCAAAAATTTATAAAGATAAATCTATGTGTTTGTATGTCATGAAATTGTTGGAAGATCTAATAAAGAGCGTTTTTTATGTGCTTAGCACCTAAGCTTTGGTTTGATTACATATATTTTTTACAATAATCGCAATATTTGAATACAATATTTTTTTGTCGTCGCTTCATCAAACTGCTTTGATGTATTTTCTACACGGACTCATCATCATTTATATTGTGAGACATTTTTATTTTATGTGATTTCATCATTCAATTGATGCTTAATTTTTTTTAAAATAAATGATGAATAATAGTGAAAGACAATGCCATCAAATAATTATCAAAATAGCTATATGCATCATATATGAGTGTACTATAACTCATATAGTGTGAACACTCCTTACATGACTTTATGGTATATATGGGACAAATGTATTGGAGAGTTACTTTTAGGTCCCCAACTAGATTTCCTAACATGTTTCTTATGCAATAAGAAATTTTCCTAGATCTACTGGATGAATTACATTAAAATCATGGCCTCCATGGATCCTCCAAAATGATTTCGAGAGAAGTGTTAGTTATAACCCTCTATATTTTATTATATAATAAGTCAGACCTGCCATGGAGCAATTCCAACATTCATCGAAAATAATTAGTAGATATTTCTTAATTGGATTGGTTAGTGATTTTCCAAAATTGCTACACCTGAAGACCAAATATTTTAGAGCACACCCAAAAAAATTTTGAATCATCCTAGATACATAGTATATTTTAAGGTTAATTTTTTTTATCGGATTTTATAATATATTTTAAATATACCCAATCAATGTAAACATTTTATAGGATTGCATTTGTGTTATTGACGTAACACGCATTGATGCACGAATACCTCAAAATGAAAATATTGCATATATCGGGCGATGTGGCTCATAAACACAAAACATTATGGCTACTTGTGATTTCAATGTGCTTCACCTTTGTAATTGCTAAATGGAAAGAGAGTGCATATGATAGTCGGATTTTCAATTTTGTTGTGCGAAGTAGCCATTTTAATTTTTCTATGATGCCTCAAGATTAAGAACCTAAATAAAAAAAATATATATATAACTTATTTGCTAATGTGAATAAATGAATTTTTTTATATGTAGGAAAATATTATATGGTTGATGTTAGTTATCCCTTACAACATGATTTTCACAAGCCATATCCTGACATGAAATATCACATCTTATATTTTGAACGGGCTTGCCAAATAATTTGGAGAAGAAAATAAATATTTAACAAACGACACTATTCTCTACAGGTGTCATTGACTTGAGAGAACATTCAGTGTTTGGAAAAAAATGGATGATTCTTCGAGACAGGTGAAGATTATGACTACAATAATGACTTCCCAAAATTATATTCCATGACATCCAACAAAATCTGATATTGATTTTAATATTCTTGATGAAAATCAATTAATTGTTCTTCCTAAAGCATATGAGTATTGCTTGGGGAAGTCAATATTACCAATGATTTTGTATGTGACTCTTACATGCAAAATGGAGAAGCTGTTGGAGATGCAGTTGTGACAACATATTATGAATGTATTAGTAAATGTGTGATACTTGTATGTTATTATATAAAGACATGATTAATCTCTTTATGTTCTTCCATGATATTTATGTAG